CACCAGGCTCAAGGTTGACTCAGCCTTCCATCCTTCCGAGGTGGGTAAAATGAGGACCCAGATTGTTGTTGGGGGCAATATGCTTACTCTATAAACCGCTTAGAGAGGGCTGAAAGCCCTATGAAGCGGTATATAAGTCTAACTGCTATTGCTATTGCTATAAATTGAGTTAAAACATAAATTGCAACTCATCTACCTATCAACAGAAACAAATATTTAAGAGGCTGTCACAGAGAAGAGGGAGACAACCTCTTCTCCAAAGCACCTGAGGATAAGACAAGAAATAACGGTTGGAAACTTGTCAAGGAGAGATCCAACCTAGAATTAAGGAGAAATTTCCTGACAATGAGAATAATTAATCAGCTTGTCTTCAGAAGTTGTGGGTGCTCTAACACTGGAAGTTTTTAAGAAGCCATCCAGAATGGTATAGGGTCTCTTGCTTGGACATGTGACTGGACTAGAAGACCTTCAAGATCCCTTCCAACTCTGTTATTCTGTTCTGTTCTACTCTACTCTTCCTTGGTGCCCATTTTCTTCATAGGAAGAACTTGGACAGTTTTTTAGATGGAATAGAACAAGAAGATGTCTTGCATGAGACAATGAAGTGGGGCCCTATTTGTTCCAAGCTCTGGCCCTGCCCATTTTATGCTATAGCCCTACCTCTTGAAAGAACATGGCTTCATTAAACTTTCCAAAATGACTCCATAAGTTTCAGGCAAAATGATTTCTTATTCCTACTTCTACTTTTGAGAAGATTTGTTTAATCTACTGGAATAACTGGAAATCTCAAGTATAGCTTCATAGTTAAATATTACATTTTGACTAAGGCATTCCATATATGGAAGGGAAGTTTGAGCATTACTAAAAGGAGGTCAGTGAAGGAGGATTTGGCTAATCTTTGGATAGTTGAACTTGCTATCCCCGATGCTGGTGATCAAGTGAGAACATGTTTGATCATGATGACAAAAGCAGAGGGATATCTTCGCATCTGAATCTTGTTCCTTTCTTTTCCCCTGGGACCTTGAGGATTTATCCTTGAAGACAAGCACAAGGGCTAGTCTCTGAATGGAATACTTCTTTTAAACAGGCTCTCAACTAAGGGATTAATGAGATATTTCATTCAGACTTTTCATCTGTCTTCACTCTGAAACTTGCTGCCCACTGGGAGGGTGGGATGGAGGGAGGGAGGATGGTTTTTTCATAAAAGAGCTGAGAACTGTGTTGCTCATCCCACAAACATCTGTGCTATCTGCTGTGACAAATGTGTTGTTTTCCTCTTTGGTATTTCACAGCAATTTTTATCATGGCGTTTTCCCAGTAAAAAGAAGCAGATACAAGAGTCATTCCTGTAACCTGATATCAAAGCCTTTAGGCATTTTGCTTAATTAAGACCCAATGGACAAAGTGTGGCACAAATGAAGGCTCAAAAGTTGTGGAGTTGTGTGGAGGATTAGCTACTGACCATGAAATCTGATTAAAGGACAGCCAGTTTGACTGCCAACATGTCATCTTCTGGTTTATCTTCAATGTATATAATGAGGGGAGATAAGATTATCCTCATCCATCAACTTCTTGAGAAGGAGCCTCCATCAATGAAAGAGCCCATCTGTGTAGATAGACTCAGATCGCATGAGGAGAAACCTTACTCTTCTACAATTTGTTCACAGTCTTTGTCAGAATTATTCTGAGTATATTATCCAGGGATCAGAGAGCCTGAAGTGTAATCTCATCTCCTTCATTACAGTTCTTTGGATGTCGAATCAGGCAAATCAAGTTGGAAATCTGGACTGTTTTCAGGCGTGGTAAATATGAAGATATTTAGTTCATTCAAATGTTGCCGTAGGATTTGATTTCTCTTCAATTCTTCTTTATCCCATCACACCGACTTCTTCAGAATCCAATAAAAATAGTTCTAAAGGTGATTTGCTTGATTTATCATTCCTCTTTAACTTTTAAACTTTAGCCAGTTTCTTTTGTATATCCAATAAAGTAGTGACGGTGAACCTTTTCGGCACCGAGTACTGAAAAGGGAGCACGTGCGTGCACACTTTGCTAGCTCGTCGGAGGAACTGCCCAGGGGGCATGCGCAAGCTGGTTTCCAGCGCATGCATGTGCGCCGACCAGCTAGTCTTCCAGTTACTGGTGTGCATGCGTGCAAGATAATCAGCTGGCTGGTGTGCATGCTCACGCTGGAAAACAGAAGACCAGCTCTTCCAGTTTCCGGCACTGCCGCATAAAGGGCAGCTGATCATCATGCGTGCATGCGTACCAGAAACCCACAAGAGGAACGTGCAACGCCACACATTCCAACTCCCCATGCCACTTGACTCAGCCTTCCATCCTTCCGAGGTGGGTAAAATGAGGACCCAGATTGTTGGGGGCAATATGCTGACTCTGTAAACCGCTTAGAGAGGGCTGAAAGCCCTATGAAGCGGTATATAAGTCTAACTGCTATTGCTATTGCTATGTGACATAGGTTCGCCATCATGGCAATAAAGCATCGTTTTCCAAATCATCTTTTAGCCTGTCATTTGTAACACAACTTTCAATTCTTTCTCTGTCTTAGTAGACAAAGTTTGCTCTACTTCTGTCATTCCTTTATTCTGTCCATATTTTTTTGACAGAATCTAACCCATAGAATCAGGCAACATTACTGACAAACATGGATAGTACTAATTTCTAGCCGATTCTTCAAAGATCTCCTTTAATATTTCCAAATTATGACATTTGGTGTCATTTTGCAAGTCTCAATTAACCAATACCAGAAGTTGGAAGCTTGTTTGCATTTTTTTCGTTTCTATTCAGAATCTTTAATCCTACCTAGAATCCAGTCTCTAAAATTATGAAGTTGCTTATTTTTATTATGAGCCAATAATAAATAAGTCTGTTTCCCATGAGAAACTGAGAAACTAATCATAAAACCTTTTATGATTAATTCCAAAACCCGGTAACAAGAATCACCGTTCCAAATTCATTTGGAACCTTAATCTGTTTATAACTTTCCTACATCTAACTCTTTGTTCAGCTTTTTCTATTTGAATTTGATTTCAAACCCTTTAAGTTCTTAAGGTTGTGATTAATTTTTGTTTTTGTTCAGTTGAAGCTAAACTCTGACTTTTCACACTTGTCATATTGAAGGTTTCTCATAGCTTCTAGATGGTTAATAGGCAACTTCCAAAAGACATTAGAAAGTGGGGCTTATGAACACAGTGTTGTTTAAAAGGCTCTACTGCATTTGCAAGCAAGATGGCTAATACCTTTGTCTCCTAGTGCTCAAACCTGCAGAAGAATGCTGTACTATGGTGCCCCGTGAGGAGCAGCCAACTAGAGCACATGTGGATGATCTCCCAACCTCTCCTTATCAAGGCAGTTCTGAAGAATCAGTCTGCCCATTGGCCCTTCGGTCTTTGCCATGGTTGCCAGCTCTGCTTCCACAGATATTTATTTAGTTCACCATGCCTTCTCTAGAAGTCCCTAGCTAACAGACTTCACAATGAACATGAAAATAAGTATCAACGCTCCAAAAACACAAATCTGCATTCAGTAACAGCAGTTGTTACATTCTCAAACTCCCACAGCTTCAACCTTAAACTGTCTATCGTGAACCTCACCCCATTCCTAAGAGGTCAGTAAAGGGGCCATGCATAAGCGCACCAGCGTGCCTACCATCCCTGTCCTACTGTCCCCATTTGTTTGTACTCATTTCCCTTGTTCATGTCCATGTTTATACTTATACCTGTTATCTTGTACATGTTTGACAAACTAAATAAATAAATAAAATAAACTTCATAGACTTAACATGACTGGATAAGTAGGTGTATTCCAGATAAGAAAAAAGATACACAGACAAACACGCACAGGCTTACTATATGCATGTATGTATATTACATGTTTTTCAGGCAGTAAAACGTTTTTGCTAGTCCTCAAACTAGTTGGGCAATGGGGCTCTTGGGAAATCACCTACCAATAGGGAAAGCAAGAAGCATGAAACACTAATTAAAAACTTCTATTGATGCTAGACAAATATTTAAAGCAATTTTACAGACACAACACTGGCAACACATGGTATGTTTTCCCAGTATTTTTTTTTACAATAAATACCAAAAGAGAGTTCATGCATTCTGTTCCATTTTCTAATCAACATTCATACCAAGCATATGCAAACATTGCAAGAAAGAAACATCAGGTGTTTTTAGCCTCATGTAGATATTTTCTTAGCATCACCCAAATGATTCATAACATAACTAAACACTACTAGTGACTTCTTTATGCATATGATATATGCATGGTTTCAGGAGAATAAAAGCAAAGTGACAAGGATCCACAAATGTCATTAGCCTTGGTAAAGGAGCCAAAGAGTTGCCAAGAATTTCTCAAGAAAGGCACAGCTGCCGTATTCCAAGCATCTTCAAAGTTTACTGTGATTGGGGTAATGAATCTCTGCCTTTTGTATGTGATGAATGTCGAATCAAAAAACAAAACAAAACCCTATGAATGATTGGATTGGGAAGCACACTTGTACTGAAGGAGCTCCATATAATACTTGGTAATAATAGTTTCAGCATTGTCAGCCTTGCAAGGTAGACCAGATGGGAAACATGGCCAGATAAGCTAATTCTACTTTACTGTAACATTACACTAAGAGAACCTTGCAAGTCTGAAAGGATATCAGTAAAGCCAATTTGGTCTAGTAGTTCAGGTGCTGGCCTAGGAACCAGGAGACCATGAGTTGTAGTCCACCTTAGGCACGAAAAAACACTTGGCTAACTTTCTGCCAGCCTCTCTCTCTCTCCTCCCTCTCTCCCTCCATCCCTCCCTCCCTCTCTCTCTCTCTTTCTCTCTCCCCCCCCCCAGCCCATCTCATAGGTTTGTTCTGGGGAAAATGGGAGGGGGAGGAAGAAGAAGTATTAAGTATGTTTGCCACCTTGAGTTACTTATAAAAAATAAAGATGGGATAAAACCAAATACAATAGAACCTCTAATACGATCATAATTCATGCCATAACTTTGGTCACAACCCAATTTAGTCATGACCCGGACCTAAATTTGGAAATTTGTGGCTTACCCAAAAAAAATGGCACGGAAGAGGAAATCAGCCGCAAAAAAACAAAAGTGAATTTTTTGGTCGGAACCCAATTTTGTCGTAGTCAGAAGCGTTCGTGACTAGAAGTTCTACTGTATATCTCCCCCCACATCTCTTACCCAGAAACTAGGAAGGGTCTCTTCTGAGCCTCTGGTCCTGTGCACTTCCCATGTCAGTTTAAGGTGCCTTTTGTCTACCCTTGGCTACAACTCTTTGCCCAGCCTTCCAAGGTCATTCCCATCTACAGGTAACCATTCCCAGTGACATAGGAATGAATATTTCTTGTCACTCTACATAAGCATATTCAATTCATCTTATGTTACTATTAGTTGGGAAAAAGCATCTCTCTTTATGCAACAGTTAATTTGCAAATGGGTAACTTTGTGATGCAAGGACTTCATCTCATACCTGAATGACATCTATCATAGTTATGTATTCAGGAGTTGGGCAGTGCAAATGTAGGTCCATAGAAGAAAGGAAACACTACAAGAGGCACATGACTATAAATCTAGCTGCACTTAAGTTGTGTTTGCATATTTCAAGTAGCCTTCCAACCTTTCCTTGTACTTTCTTTTTGGCCAGATTTTGGCAAAACCAGAACAAAATGTTAAATGTGATGAAGTTTCTAATCATTACAAATGAGGCATGATGACAGTATGTGATGTATATGCAATAGAAGGGCAGGACTGATCCTTAAAAAAGATACGGCAATTGAAAATTAAACAGAGAATATGAAATATAATTTCAAACATATTTATCTCTTTTAACATGCTTTACACCTTTTTGCAGCTAATCTGTTCTGCCATTTACAGTTGGGAATTATGATATCTCATATCCTGTTTACTATTAATTTCCGTATCATACGGCCAATACTATGGGTGGCAAAGGAGAAAGGATTCAAAAGACAAAAATATCACTGAATACATAGGTAACCAATGCTGTCAAATACAACATTCAATATAGATTGTAATTTTCAAAGAGGCTTATTTGATGATAATTTGGTGAGCTTCCAATGCTAATACTCACAAAGGTGAATTTAAAAGCACAGACTTAGTGGGGAGGGGGAAATTGCCTTCCCTGGTACTGGGCAGTTGCTGGTCAGATCAGATCAAAGCCCTGGAGAAAACTAAGATACAGTTTCATTCATGCAGTCTTTAGTAAAGTTTCCACAGCTTATAATAGTTTTACTTCTAAGCTGTTCTCATCCAAGTGACTATCTAATAATGCTTCTTTCTGATTAGGGAGTGTTGGCAGCACGACTGGGCTTTAGAACAAGGATGCAAACTCTTTCAACCACCCTAAGTCTTGAAATTTAATCTGGTGCAACAAGGACTTGACAAAGCTTCCTTTTTTATCAACACCTCTGAGAATGGGAGAAAGAGCCACAGGAGAAGTCCTTTAGTGTTGTGCACTAGGCTGGGCATCCCAGTAGGTTATGTAGATCCTTGATCCATGTGCTTTCACAAAAGGTTACAAATAGGTGAAGGCGGAGGAGGGGGGCAGCAGAATGAAGGCTGAGCCAGCACTAGCATTCAAGAAAGAGCAACACAAAAGAGCATAAACAGAGGAAGTGTTGTGAACTGGAGGTCACTTGAGCAACATCAGAGGCCTGGCAATCCCGGTGTGAAAAGCATATGTAACCTGAGTTTAAAGGCAACCTTGATCTAGTCTATCAAAGCAGCAGGAGAAACCCCAGAAGTCAGTCAGTAACTTGATTCAAGAAATGTTAGAGGGAAAGCAGGTGTAATAGGAAAAAGAGATCCTGGCTTTGGAATAGAAAAGCTTACTTCTAATAACAAGGCAGACTTTAGCCCTGTCTCCCCATGATAGTATTACATATGAAAGGTGCTTTTTCAAGAGGCAACTGGACTTTCTGGTTTTTCTTTGAAGACCTTTTACTTCTCATCCAAGAAGCTTCTTCAGCTCTCAGAAAAACACCTTTGAAAATGCACCTTTGGGACAACCATGACCTGGATGTCTGAGAATCTCCATATACAATTACATATGAAATGAACAGTTCGAACCTGCACAACAAATATTCTCTTTTATCTATACCACATGGCAGGAGTGTCAAACTCGATTTCATTGAGGGCTGCACCAGGGTTGTGTTTCACCACAGGGAGTGGGGGGCAGAGAGGGTGTGGCCAGCCCAATATCATTCATGTGATCAAATGCCACTTTTGCTAGTAGTTTGTTTTGCTAGCACTCTACCAGTGAAACTGGAGCTCATGAAGACCATGTGCAGCCCTCCAGGGCTCTTTTCGGCTGCAACGGCCTCCTGCATCCCTCTTCCACCGAAAATGGAGCCTGTGATGGTTGCGTGTGGCCCTCATGAGCTCCGTTTTCACTGGCAGAAGCACTGTGGGGCGGTCCTTCACTGTTTCCAGGGCAGCCCCACGGGCCAGATCTAAGCACCCCGTAAGCCGGATGCAGCCTGCGGGCCTTGTGTTTAACACCCCTGACATATGGATATCAAGCACTTCAGAAAACATGCAAATGGCAGAAATATGCATATAGGTATATTTTCACCATTAGCACTGATGATGTTATCTAGTTTGGTAATGAAATGTCTGCAAGAAAATAACCAAGCTCAGAGAGCACCAAGGAGCCCACATTTCAATCCTGAGCTACAAGTATTTTATTGATAAACGTGTCCTTTGTGCATTTCTCAGAATTATAATTAGCAAAACAAAATCACTTACGTTTGCAAATGTCTGGGGAAGTCATAGATTTGGCTCTGTCTCGGTAAAAACCAGGCTTACACCTTTGACACCGGAAACCCTCAGTGTTGTGCTTGCAGTTATCGCAGATCCCCCCACTCTTCTTCCCAGAGGCCAGCCAGACCCTCTGGTCAAAATGACAGCTATCTGCATGATGGTGACAGCGGCATTCTGTAGTGGGGAGGCAGGAAATTGAGAGAGGGAGAATAAAGAGAAAAAGAAGGCAAAGCACAAGTTGAGTTTCAGGGAAAGAAAAGTATGGCTCTTATTGTTGAAGAAAAGTAAGCCTATGCATGTGTCTGCCTGTCATCCATCTATCTGGAAAAAAAATTATACCTTGAGTAAAGGAATGTAAGATTGATTTCAGTATCTGTTCTAAAAGTAGCTAAGTTTGCACAAAAATAATAATTGAATAATGTAGCATTTCAGTTGATTCTTTTATGTTCTTAATTAAGCTATTAATATGATCTATGAATGAGTTGGCTGCCTTGTTTTTTTTTAACTATTAAACAAAAAGGAAAGATACAGATTTTTTTCTCCTTTAATTCTTATAAAACCATTGGGATATAAATAAAATTTATTTATTGCTGCACTTGACCTTAATAAACATTGTCCAATCTTAGACTGTTCCTCTTCTGACTAGTTTCAACTTGATTCTCTTTGGAGGACCAACCACCTGTTTATAAAAAAATTGCCAGCAAAACAAGGTGAAAGCAGAGATGGGTTGTAACATACCTCTAAGACCAAAGGATCCTGATAGTTGGAAATTTTATAAAGAGAAATCATTTACCCTAATGTGAAGAATTTCACTATGGCTAAAGTTTTGTTTTATCCAGCTTATTCTTACCAAAGATTATTCCGGCTTGGTATCCCTACCATATTTTGCCTCATAACAATAAACAACAGCAAACAAGAGTGTTGCCATTTTTTTTATTCTTAATATGTGGAAAATAAATGTTTTCTTCTATATAATGCTAAGAACTGATACATTTTAAAAATCCTACTGCGTATTGTTACTGGCTTTATTAGAAAACAGCAAAAATACAAGTCTCTTTAAAACTAGAACATTATTTTATTGTAATATATATATATATATACAATATAGCAAGTAGGCCAAATGTTATTTATGTATAGTTGAATTCATGAATATATGATTCAATGTTCTACATGGAAACACACCTGCTAGTGAATGTAGGATTTATATAACAGCAGCTGAGGGAGTCAAAAACTATTCTGCTTTTAAATGTTAATATTTCTGCCTCGTCCATAATTCCAGTCAATTTATTATTTTGATATTAGCTGAATTTGGCTGAGGTATGGAACATGGCTGCTACATCTCTGTATACAAAGAGCAAAATAGAGGCGGTCTTGAAAGCATTGTCATACATTTTCTTAGACCATTCCCCATCTGCTGCTAAAGCATTATAAATCCAAATTTAGTCACCCTGGGCATTGCTTCTGGGTTGGAAAGATTCATTATTGTGTTGCTCCCTCCTTCCCTCTCTCCCCGAGACCCACATACTTCTGCATTCATTTGCTGCCCCAGTTTTTCCATTGCCCGGCTCCCATGGCTGGTCATTGTATAATGGCGCACACTTCTCACAATGGTGTCCTGCAGTGTTATGTCTGCACATGCACTTCCCATGGATCTATCAAAGGGGGAAAAAAATCATTTTAAAACGTAATACTTGTAAACAGTGGCTTGCAAGCACGAAAAGGAACCGGAGTGATCTGAACAAAAGCTCCAGGCAGGCAAGAACTTTGAAAGAAAGGATCTTATGAGGCTTGGCCATATGTTCCCTGCATTCCAAATAATTGTTCAGTTGGATTCTTTGCTTTGACATGCCTCACAAGGAAAGACAAGGAGGAACTCTGCCTTCCCTTTCCTGTCTTCCCAGAACTTCTATCCTACCAGGATACCTTTTAGTCACCTTTTCAGCAGTTTCAAGGGTTTGTTTTGACAACAACCCAATGAGTTGCATTGGGAAAGGCTTAAATATGGAAATGATGGGCTGTAAGAAATTTGGGCTTGTAGCTCCTTCTGAGGAGCAACATCAAATACCAGAAGCAGAGCAAATTTTCTGATGAAAACTGGCAGAGAGATGTTAGACCTGTCTCATTTTAATTGGTACAGACTGTAAAACAGTTCCTTAAGCTACCAAGAATTGCTGGAGGATTCCCTTCACTTTCAAAGCCTAGTTGATGTTTGCTTTGCTTTTCTGGATCTCTATAGGGTACATGATAAAGAGCATCTCTAGGTATTCTCTCTTGGAACCTGGTCATGCAAAAATTTGAACTGATTGGAATGAAAGAAGAATGGCCTTTTTTAGGGGATGGGGTTAGAAAACAATGGAATATTGTGGTTTCAGCCTTTAGCATTTCAGACTCCCTGTTTAACTCACAAAGGGTATATAGACAAGTGCAGAACTGAAAGAAACATTTGATGGGATATAGCAGGGACAGCAATACTCTGTCTTCAAAACTGAAAAGTTGCAGCCTGCGGAAAGGATGGAAACTTATTTCCATCTTGCATACTGCCTTTTTCCTCCACTGAACTGAAGTACTTCTCTCCACTTATCCTTGAGTTGGCGGAAAAATGTGCCAGCATGAAAAGTTGATGCCCCCACTGTCAATCTCTTTCCTGCCTCTACTGCTTTTCTTCCCAGTCACTGCCAATCACCTAACTTCCATCTGAAGTAAAGCCTAATAGACTTTATCCACTTTAAGCCTATTTTAATACTGGAATAGCTGAAGGTGACTAAAATTTGTCACATTTATGGATTGGGGTAAGATGGACCATAAGGACAGAGAAAAAAAAAGCTGCTGGCACATTTATGCTTCAATTAGATCAATGTGAAGGAAAGCTCAAAAAGAAGATGGACATTCATCAGTCGCGGTTGCACAGTGGTCAGAGTGCAGTACTGCAGGCTATTTCTGCTGACTACTGGCTGCCTGCAATTTGGCAGTTCAAATCTCACCAGGTTCAAGGTTGACTCAGGCTTCCATCCTTCTGAGGTGGGTAAAATGAAGACCCAGATTGTTGGAGGCGATATGCTGACTCTGTAAACCACTTAGAGAGAGCTGTAAAGCGATATATAAATCTAAGTGCTATTGCTATTGAGAACTTACACTTCATCATACCACAAGTCAGTGTCAGAAGAAGGGAAAAGCTAGAGGAAAGGATTGGGAAGTTGGTTGTGCTGCTGCTATTCAAGACTGCCAGCTCTCCTTTCCCAAGGAAAGGTCAGCCCTAATACTAGCCCATGAAATTCAAACAGTGTAAGTAAGAGAAGGCAAAGTGGAGAAAGCATTCCCAAACCTGTATAGTTCTCACAGGGAAGCAGCTATGGTTTTATTTTCTATTGTGACCCAGCTTTGTACCACCATTTGAATTTCACTTCATCCTTCCTTCCTATTTGTTTACTCCACTCATCCCCTTTCATCCTCTTGCTGGTAGTTACTGCTGACGATAGTATTGGCTGTGACTTCCTGGCCGTCATCAGTATATTTGGGGAACCAATCTCTCCCCACTCCTGCTCACCCTGTTCGAATGAGGACTTTGGAATTGTTCCAGAACTGGACAACAGTCACTCATTTACCAAAATTATTTCTCTTTGGGGTGCATGTTCACTTTGTAGTAATGCCAAATCCAATTTGGCTTCAAAGAGATTTGCCTGTAATCAGCAAAACTTGCTTGCCCTAGGAAGGGAAAACGCTTTCTTCTGGGTTTGTTGCAAAATGCATCCCTGAAAAATACATATTCAGGATATATGGAGGAAAATATTTCATATGTTGAATTTTTTTTATAATGCAAAGGAATGCATATTCAGGATTCAAACATTTCCTAAAAATATGTAAGGATTCAGGGAATGACGGGACTGGGAGAAGAATAGATTTTTTTTCTGTTTTATGAGTTCCTGTCCTTATACAATCTAAAGCCTCCTTTATTGGAATTTCTTCAAGAATCTTTGAAACAAGATTATAACTCTCCTTTTTTTGTGAGTTTTGGGGAGAACAGACAATTTCTATACCATCTAGCTCCTTTCAGATTCAGATCTTGACATCACCTACACAACTCAACAACCTTGGACCATTTGTTTTCTTTCTCTCTCTCCCCCCTCTTCTTATAAAACTCTAAATTATGATTATAATTAATAATTAAGTGAACATTGCCATTTATGTTCATTGTCAATTCCAGGTATACGATTATTATTTTAGTTTATGCTTCTGCATTGTATCACCATATCCAAATGTTTAATATATTGAACAGAGAAAAAGCTAAGACATATCTTTTTCTGGCATTATTTTCAGAAAAGGACCACAGACAATTTATTTACTTAAGTTAAAACAGAGGATGAATTAAACCCGAAGTTTCTCCCTTTATATTTTAATACTTTACTAGACTGCTGTACAGCAAAAAATTTGTACTTATATTGAAGCATTTCGTGCTGTTCTCACTGTTTTTAAATATGAGCTGGCACTCCAGTTCTTCTCTGCTATTTCTAATTTACCTCTTCTTTCATGTAAATTGGTCTGCTACCTTTATCCCAGTTCCTTTCCCTCCTATAATATTGTTACTAAATTGTATCTACATCTGGTCTATGATGGTAATAAATGATTTAATTTGATTTAAAAGTAAAGAGAAGGTCAGCAACCTGAAGCCTCAGTGACAAATGATACCCCGAAAGTTTTTTCTTCTTCAGATCTTAGAGCCTTCTCAGGTTACAAATGTTAAAAAGCCAAAGGTCTAAGTTTCCTAAAATTTTGAGGCAGGAGGCACTTGTCCTCAGAAACACGGATTTGTAAGCATGATAGTGTCTTCTACTTGAAAGTTTCACAATCACAAGGAGATAAACATATAGTCATCCAATGTTATACAGGTTTACACCAATGCCACTCATTATATCTCTCTCCTTAGCTTTCTATCCTTGCAAATCTTTCTATCCTTGCTCTGTTTTTATTACGTGCATTCACTATTTTTGTTATCTCAAATTTCTCTCTGTTTTGAGGATTTCAGCTTTAACTTCCTTGATCTCTCCTCTCCTTTCAACTAACTCAGTTCTCCTTCATGTTTATTCTGCAGTCAGTTCCTCATTCATTATTTTACTTCCTCATGCATTCTTTTAAACTTTAATGTTCTTTTGTTCTACAGATCAGTCACTTTTGTATTCGAAGCACATTCATTCAAAAGACACTCATTCTTGGCCCTTTTACAACACGCACTTAAGTAACCGGTTGCTATCTTATTCAGATTGTGTTTCCCCAATTCTCACAATCATTCCACACAACAGACTGCCACATACCAAGCAAAGCACTCCTGATAAGTTTATACATGAACACTTTAAAGAACTAGGGGACATCACACATCCTTGTCTTACTCCCTTGTTGAACTATTCATTAACATTACTTTATTATTTTGCATGCTTTACCTTCATCATGTGCCACTCTTCATTCAGCAACTAACCTTCAATTTTAAATGTACCCAAATATCCCTGAGGCTTTTTCAGATCAGGAAGTGGGCAGCCATGAAAGCATGCACCAACCTCCATAAACATTTTAAATCCCCATCAAAAGAAGTTCTAGAGAAAGCCTCCTAAGAATGAGGAATAAGAAAACCCAAGATTTTCATGGATAGGAACGTAGGCACTGCAATAACTTGTATTAATGAAACTATGAAGATCTGATCATTAAAAAATGCTTGGATATGATATTATCGAGGTATGTTAAGAAAAGTTCCTCTATACATCACCAAAGTTATTCTGCTGTGCAAGTGTCTACAGGATCTGATGCTTTTGTCAAAAACATGAAAGCAGTGTTGAAATGCTATAATACGAGCTCTCAGAATGTATATGTGACAATGCAGGGTTGCTTTTTTCATGTGTACACATGTACACATTTGACCTTAACTATGTATGTCTGTTTTCATCCCCTTCAAATGGCAACGGACTCCTATGAACCTAAATCATACAACTTCCTGAGATTCCTTGAACAGAGAAGAAGCTAAGCCATGCCTTTTTCTGGCATTATATTCAGAAAGGACAGCAGGCAATTTATTTACATCTCCCTTAAATGAAAACAGGGCATAAATTAATCCCAAAGCTCCCCCACCTTTGTATCTTTTCATCACAGGTACTATATCAGTCTAGAGAATACATTAGGTGAATTTTTCTGCTTACATTTGACATTTACCAGCTGTGAAGAAAAGAGGCTATTCATTCAGACATTGGCAGAACATAATGTTTGAATTAAATTTGACAAATGATAGACAGAACCAACCATTAGTTGTCATTGGACAAAAAGAGAAGGAACATACTTTAGAACAATTCTCGTTTGCAGTTGATCAAGTTGATGGTTCCTTTAAAAAGGAATCCAGTAGCATGTGCTTAGTAGCAAAATATTATTTTGGGAAAATGTAGTGTTGCTTTGAAGAGTTACTACACACACACACACACACACACACACACACACACACACACACACACACAGATATAATCAAAAGGCTCAGTTGGCATTATATTATCCCTATAGAAATGGTTAGTAAAAGAAAACTAGTAGCTACTAATCTGCAAAAATCCAGGCAAGCACTAGATGACAGCAAAAAGAATGAGAAAAGTCTAAATTGGCTGCCATCTAATGTCTTGAACTTTGC